CTCACAAACAAAAATGTAAAAAGTTAAAAAGCTTCAGAAACCATACTTTTTTTATTGCTTTTTTTTCCATATTTGAGTTTTACCTTCATGAAGTCTTTAATGACTAAGTCACTGTGGTGAACTCACTAACATGACATAGGAAATATATATCAATTAAGTCTTGATATTGTCACTCAGTGCTGTTTGATCTTGATAGTTTCCCTTTATTCAGATATTTACAATTTAGAAATACATCTTCATAAAATGTCATACAATTTATAATAAGAAAAAGGACAATATAGTATAAGGAAGATGATGGCATAATGACTAGGATTCTTCTTTCCTCCAACTACTCTCAGATTCTAGGTGAAAGCCCAGTGGAGATGTGAGCCCTTTACTCTGGACCTAGTCTGTAATTCCATGTGGCTGTATCCCCAATCCCAGCAAAGTGGAAATACCTGTCCCTTAACCTAGCTGAGCTAATTTAGGGTAAGGGGTTATCTCTCACATGAAGATCAGCTTGCAGGCAGTGGAGGGACCTTACTGCATGCTGCAAATATCACACTGGCTGCTGTAGGATTGGGCAGCTTTTATTAAGTACATTTTGAAATATGCACTCTTCTGTTCTTTAAGATGGGACTGCAAGCAGTTTATTGTGAATCCATGACTACGTGTGAAGGACTTTGAAAATGAGGATCAGTATAATATCTGAAATAAATGATAGAGCAAAACTCCAAGACTGATCTAAGGTTTGGAGCAGGAATATGTCTCACATAGAGCCTGGGGGACTTTTCTCAACATCCTTCAGGCTCTTGACAACACAGTCCACACTGCCATCTGGTGGGAGGAAAAATATTCCCCCACCTTGGGGTGGGGGGTAAAAGCTAGAGATCTGGTATTTCCAAACATCACTGAGTGTGAATTGTGTGTCTCCATTGTGGGTTTAGGTCCCGAATATGGATTTGATAGTTAGAGATGGTTAGGGAAGAGAGCTGAAGCAGGTGAGGGTCAGATGTAAATACATCTAAGAGTAAAAAGAGGTATCTGGTGCTACTGGAGAAAAAATGTTACTGTCTGCACTTACTCTCATTTTTACTAAAAACAACTTCCATACAAGGTTATTTTTGACAAAGAAGTAATGGTAATTGAACTAATGAAAATTACAATTCTTGAGCACCTCATGCTGCTGCTCACTCTAGGATGATCCTTTTATGTTTTCCCCTCAGTTCTTATGGTCTATTGTTCTGTTGTGTCATGTACAGTATGAATCTTTCCCCAACACTGTCACCACCATCAATTGAAGGAGCCTGAGATCACAAACCTGCTCTGCTGTCAGGGCAGCCGAGTGTGGTGAACTCTGTGTTTTCTCGTGGGAGGAAGCACCTGCTCTGACCTCTGTCTCAGGCCTCTGAGCACAAGCCAACCCTGTGTGTCCTTTTCAGGCTTTGCCAATCTGTGATAAGCCTCCCAGTGCCCCTAGTGTGCTTTCATGACTATTTGCATTTTCTGGTTGTGTTAAGAATCTTCTGAATCATAGAATTTTAATTTCATTGCTGTATGTTTCATAACAATGTAATTAGATAAAAACAATATTTATTACACAACTGTATTTCTAAGAGAGTGGCTAAAATATTACTCTAAATAGAAGTTATAGATACAGTAGACTCTTACAGTGAAGGGGCAAACAAGAGAACAAAACTTTCTTTTGAGTGAACAAAAACAAGCTGTATAAAGTCAATTTCTTTAGCTCTTACAGAGCAAAACAGGAGACAGATGATCAGGAAGTAGGGAGAATTTCAAATAATTTTCCAAATTATCTCTTTCATTATTTTAAAAATATTCTAAGATACATGATTTCTAAGTTGAGCTCCCACTCAGTCTGAGTTTTAAACATTATTTTTTGCTTTTTAAAATTACTTTGCATTTACTTTGATGGCATCTCTTTATTTCTTTTTCCTTTGCTTAAAGATAGTGTGAAATGGTTCATTATTGAGATTTTATGTGTTTTCTTTGAGCACAAACCACAGGATTAACTGAGTCCTGTGTGTCCTTTTTAGGCTTTGCTAACCCTTGAGAAAACTCCCAGTGTCCCCTAATGTGCTTCCATAACTATCTTATTCTCTGGTTGTATTAAGTACCTGTAATAAATCGGACCATGGTATAGAATCCAGAGGAAGCAAGAGACTGAAATTTGGGAAGCAAAGGCTTTATTAGGCCAGGCCTGGTGACGAGTCTCCAGGAGCCAATTTGGAGACTGCCTGCCAGAGACTGAAGGGAGGACTTTAAAAGGAGGCAGGGGGAGAAACAAAGAAACCTGCAGAGCCATCAAACTTGTTGACCGGAATCTGGAAACTGTATAGCTGTCCACTTAGTTCTGACAACCTCGGGAGCCTTTGGCGCCTTTTAAGTTACTCCCATCCTGCAGATAAGAATTATCTGCAATAAAATTTGGAGAAGAAAGTAGAGAGCTAATTATCTCAGGAAAGCTTGTTAACACTAACAGGTGGGAAGGGGTCGAAAGTTACAAGAAGCTGAAACTTAAGCCTTCACAAGGATTTGGAACTTAACCCTTTTGGTGCATTAGGGTTAAGCCATAACATTTTCCTGTAATTTCTTTGAAGCTAAGGCACATTTTATGACACACCACCACCAGGTCGGGAAGAGGTCACCAGAAACCCAAAATCTTTATGGCCTAGCCTAGATAGATAGGTAAGGGGAGAGCGGAGGCAATAAGGCTTGATACAGAACAGAAAACGGCAGTTATGTTTTTCTTTCTTTCTGGGAGGGGGATCAAGGTCAGGTAAAGGGATATGCTAATAAGCAAATCTCCCTGCACACAAGCAAGTTACTTCAAACAAGTGTAAATTAGAGGGCCATCCTAGGTTTCTTTAGCTCTTTAGTGGCGCATAACAGTGATTAACAACCCTTGTTAGCTTGTTTTAGCACTATTTCTGTTGTTTGTAGAGGGCAACAATGGTTAACATATCAATTAGGTAAGGTTTTACAATTCTTTACAGAGAAGAGCATTGATTGACATATCAATTAGGTCATCCAAAGACATAAGAAGGAAAACACATACAATAAGGCCCTGTTACAAGTTTTTTGTTAAGCTATTTTCTTAGAGTACAACAGTACCTTATGTCATTTTTGATTTTAATGTTTTATGTTTATTTCAAAACTGAATAATCATATAATAACAATAGTTTACATGCTGCCATATTCTTAAGAGAATGGCCAAGTGCGACTCTGAGTAAAGTCATAGACAAAATAGACTCTCCTTACAATGAAAGGCAGACAAAAACCAAAAACATTCTCTAGAGTGAACAAAGACAAATCAGTACTATAAGCGAAACCAATTTGCCTATGTGTGACAGATGAGAGAATGATTCATGGGGAGAGCATCCCTCTTTATGACGATTACCAGGTCACTTACAATTGTCCTAAGTCATAGAAGATGGGACTCTGCCTGGTACCACTGTGAACCACAAGCTTATGCCTCTGCAGCTGTTTTTCAGGTGGGGAATGAGTTTATGAACTGAGTTTCTCTAGCGATTCATGTTGTCAAGTGACTTGAAGCACACTTTGGAGGATATTTCTCCTTGTGATGCTCCAAACTAACATCTGACATTGTTTAAAATCTTCTGTGGGTCAAAAGAGTAGAGTTCTTCACCACCTGTAAGTTTCTTATAAATCCCTAAAATGAGTTCCAGTATCCCTGAGGGACATCAACTCTATGGAAATCACACTGAGGTAACCCATTCAGTCACCAGACAGGGTCTCAGGTGCTTCTGAAATTGGTGATGAAGGACCTAGAGACACTTTAGTTGTAGAATAAGCTACAGATTCAGTGATTCTTGTTATAGCAAAAGAATTTTTATGTGTCAATAAGGGATTTATTAGGCAGTAATAAGTACACAACAAAAATTGAGTGCAAAAGAAAGAGAGAGTGAGAGAAATAGTGATGGGGAAGATAAAGGAGGGGAAAGAAAAAAAGAGATGCAACAGTTTGGCTGTTAAATGCTGTGGAATTTGTGAATGTATATGATGTTTCCCCTCAGCCTCAGTTCATGGGACATAGGATGACCCACTCATAAGATAATGTTCTATTTTACAGGTGAAAAGCCTGAGGCCTAACAAAGTTTTTGACAGATATTATGTTTTTGTATCCTCATAATCTGCTCTATATCATCAGATTTCTCCATTGTACCAACAAAGAAATTTATAAACATAAAGTATGTTTAAGAAATTTTGAGTGTAGGATACCAGAAAAGAAATATAAAAAAACTAAAATATTGATATGGGTAATCTTGGGCAAGTTGACCTGTTATTACAGTTGCAGTCTTTTTAGAAATCCAAATACTTTAGTTATGATTTTCATTGTCTCCCTTCTACTCTGTATTTCTTCTATCCTGCCTCAATGACAGTAGTGTCCTGACACATTCTAAAGCCAGGTGATTTCTCCCTTCTCTCTTTCTGGTCCCACAATGTGGTTTGCTGGCCTCAAATCTCTCCCATATACTCCAGCCTAATGTCTTCTACTTCTTTGTGCAGGTGGAGCTTTAAATGACTGAAGTGAACCAGACTAGCTTGGTACTTGAGATCCTCCCTGAGCCTGTACTCTCCCTCATAAATTCATATTTCAGTCCTGGACACAGAGACACATCAGCCACATTGAATAGCATGGATGTAATCACCGGAAAAGCATTTGATGTGATGTCCATAAGTATAGAGTCCATGCTTTTGAGGCCACATCCTGATTGAATGGATCCTCTGAAATAAGAGAAGGCTTATTTCACATTTTTAGCTAAAATAAAAATGTCAGAACCATATCCTTTTAAATCATCTTATTATCAATGTAGCACAAAACAAAATTTAGAGGCCAACACAGCATATTTCTTTTTCATGAAAGTCTGGCAATATTCTTCAGTAATTGGGGATGATGAGTCCTGTTACACTCTAATAAATCCAAGAGTACTCAGTGTAGATACAAGTTATTTTTACATTTCAAAAGGCTTCATGGTCTAGTTCACAGAGCACATTACAGTTTTTGTGCCACTTCTCCATCCACGGGTGTCACTGTGATAAGCAGTGCTGTGCCAGATGCTACAGTAATAGTCAGCCTCATCCTCAGGCTGCAGCCCAGAAATATGCAAAATGCCTGCATTGGCTGAAGTGTCTTTTGAACCAGAGAAGCGGTTGGGGAAGCCAGAACCCAGTTGCTTATCTGAGTCTGAGTAGTAGTATAGGAGAAACCTGGGAGGGCTCCCTGGCTTCTGCTGGTACCAGTACAAGTTTTTTCCCCCAACACTGATGTCACTTCTCAAGGTACAAGTAAGTCTGGCAGCTGCTCCAGGAGATGCAGACAGTGAAGGTTCCTGAGTTACCAGATCCTGAGAGAAGGAAACTGCAAACACAGACCATGCTGGATTAGAGAACAGTGACAATGTTACAGTTTGCAAGACTCATAGCAGAAGACACCCAATAGATTGTGAAATTGCAGCTTGTCTGTAAGGACTTACCTGAGCAGTAAGAGAGGAACAGAAGGAGAAGAGGAGTCCAGCCCATGGTGGAAGCAGCCCGCTGACCCACACCATCCCTTGACTTGCCCCAGGCCTCCTTTTCTTTCCCATTCCCCGAGGGAGGAGCTGGTCATGCAAATTTGTTACCAGCTATTGTGGTTCAGCTCCTGCCTGAAGCCTGGTGCTGGTGCTCAGCTCACACTGCAGAGTGAGGAGGAAGACAATTTGATTTCCTCTTTGTACAAGTCATGGGAGGCAGCATCTTCTGAAAGTAGTCAACACTGTTGCTCACACAGCTGTGCAAGGTCACAAATGACACAGCAGCTGCACCTGTCAGTGAGCACTGGACTCACTGTGCTGGTAAAGTCCTCTACGTGAATAGTTCTTTCTGTGTAGATGTGCAGGAACACAGGCCAGTCTTCCCACAGTGGTCCTTGCTGGTCACAGGATACACATCTGCTCATAGCTCAGGGACCAGAGAGCACATAATACCTGTCCCTCAGATGACAGGACTTCAAGATTCTGTGATCTGATATTGCTAGGTCCCCTGACTGAAAGACAGCACAATCATCATGACAGTGTTTCAAATCTGTGCCCTGAATTGCACACCTCCTTCTTCCAGAAGCCCCTATGGCTTCTTCCTCCCAAAAGTCTTTGCCTAAGCTCATGTGTGCAAAGGTTTATCTAATCCCCTGCTCTCCCAAAATAAATCAGCTCAGATCCGCCCCCACAGTGCTTCCCAGTCAGAGCCAATATCAGGCAGAACCTGCCCTTTGTCTGCAGGGAGAGCTGCCACAGCCATCCTTGTGGTGACTGCCTCCCATGAGACCCCCCCAAACTTTCTTATATACTTGCCTCCTCTCTTCTAATATTCTGTGCTTCTCTAGATTGAGTACAAATCACTCCATCAGATGTACTCTATGACTGCCACAGATTCTCATTCCTAGAAGGAGTCTCATTTATGTATGTTTAACTTGACTTGCTTTATTTCACTTTGTCTTAGCATTCAGCCTCATGTATATGTTGGGACAGAGAATGCCCTCTGCAGGTCTTCAGGGTAGTGTTAATGGAGACTTCTCTGCTGTTCTGTGTGCGAAAATTTTATTTTGTTTTCCACCTCTTTAGACCATCACACATGGAAGGGATTTAAGATGGTTGGTGTCCAAATGCGTCTTGTGTGAAAATGGATGATAGAGGGCCAGGGTCAGGAGCTTTTCTTTCCTGAAAATTCTCTGTTTCTTGATTTGAGTCAGCAGCCACATTGCCATCTGTGATCTGGAGTTAAAAAGATACCATGGGAGCTGATGTTAGAGGTTCTGGTATGAGTGCATTGCACTGTGAATACTTTTCCACCAAGGAAATTAAATCTGTGTCAGATGACCTGTGCCAACCACACATGACCAAATTGACTCTGCTTTATGAGAAGAGATTATGGACACATGTTACAGTATGTGGATATTTTATGTGGACCAAGATCTGATGGCATAAAAAAGACAGATCACTCTCTTAAATATGTGGAGAACTACAAATTACATTGGAAGGTGGTAACTTTCTAGGAAGGGGTCAGAAGCCTTCTTCTAAGCTGAGGATCAGGACACTGGAAGAGAATTTGGCCCAGCTTGTATTTGCCAGAATACCTGTGGGAGCTTTTCTGTCCAGTATGTGTTACTGGTGGTTACACAGAATCTGTTTCCACTGCTATGTTCTCTCCCATAGTGACAGTCAGAATCTTCTTATTTCTGGATGTTTTGGATGCTGAGATACTGATCTAGGCCTGAGTCGAAAGTTAAGAAGTAATCAGAGATCATCTTCTTTCAACCAACCAGAGCACTGATGCTCCTAACCTCTTGAGCAGAGAGCTCTTCCTTGGACTCTACTGTGTAATCTCTATTGCCAATGCTCCAGGTAGAGATGAGTGTGATTCTCTGTCCTAGGGAGGCAAATGCAAAAAGCAGCTGAAATAGCACAGCCGAGTGAAGGATCCTGGAAACAGAGTTCCTCATTAGGCTTCATTTAGGGGACTTGTGAAAGATAAACTTTTATGACAGAAAGGACAAGATCTATATTCTTAGGGATCTGAGACAGAAAACTTGAAAATACAGAAACTCATGTTATGGGAAAGGAGAAAATTAGATAATAGGTTAGGAATGTGTCTGAAAGACAGATTCAGTGAACTGAAGAATGAAGGCTTAATTCTGACCTCTGGGGTGAAAAATGACAAAGAGCAAGAGTGGGGTCAAGGCCATGGTGTCTCAGAGATCTGCTCAAGCAGGCACAGTGCAGGGCTATCTTATATATGCTAAATCACAAGGGGAGACAGAGTTCTCTTTATACAAATTAGCTTCTCTTACCCTGGAAATATTTGTAACCATAACTGTGTGTTGTTTATAGGCAGGAGGCAGATACTACACTGAAGTTCATCTGAAGCTCTGTAGGAGACAAGAAGGACTAATTAATGGCCCAAACCACCCCTCAGACAGGATGCAAGTGTCTGTTTTCCTAGTTGAGATACAACAGTTTCCATAGAAGTAGGAATACAATGTTTCCTTTTGGCCAGGCTGAGGTCCATTGTGTCTGTGAGCAGATGAGAACGCTTTGATTCACTGGATTTATTAGAAATGGGAACAATGCAGAAAATGCAGAGAAAAAGTATGGTAGTTTCCAGTTTTGCCATGACTGGGAGAAAAAACCTAATACTTGTGCAATAAAAGAGAGGTTCATAGTGAATCACCGTCAGATGCTTTCGGTCACGGCCAGCTGACTTCAAGGCCCAAACTTTTCAATTTTTTGCATTACATTCCAGTGTGAATGGACTCAAGGTTTCTCTCTGAAAATACAAGCATCTCCCTTAGTAGGCAAAAACATTAAAAGGTCCAGAAGTGGGTTTTTTTTGTTGTTTTGTTTTACTTTGCTTTGCTTTCTTTTGTATCCCTGTCTTCTCAGGGTTGCTCCTTATGCGTGCTCCTAGACATTGGACTTTAGCTACCTGACTCTCACATCACCTCATCCTAATCACATCTAGGATGACACTGTGTTTTAGAAAGTTCATGTTATATGATATTGAAGGTTGGATCTCATCATATCTTCTATATGGAGATATTTAACACAAAAATTTAGTAGTCTTTCCAAACATTCATAGATCTTAATACTTTAAATGCGGTATGCAATCCCTTTCTATTAAAATTAAAGTTAGTAAAATGTAACTTGCTATCGTTTAAAGGTGGTTGAATATTTTTATTTTCTCTTAGATTAAAAACAACATTACCGAACATGATTCTGTATAGTTGAAATACATTGACTTCAGACCTTTTAAATTACAATAACTGTGCTTTTAGGGAAATGAAATAACTGCATTGTATTTTGTTATGAAACATCTCAAATAAAATAACTCATGTGTATACTTCACATTAGTAATGGAATATGAAGAAGAATGAATTCAGATGCTTTCACACAACTTTCTCTCTATGGACAATAGGTGTGAGTCTGCCAGAGTATTCACTGCCTGGTCCCATGATCCTATTTAAGGATTTGTCAAACCTCTGTTCATGCCTTGCCTTACCATGTGGGTCTCCCTGTGTTAAGCAGTACTGTCACTGATCATATGATGGCACTCAGCTTCATTCTGAGTCTGGGCCCCTAAAAGAGTAGAGCTAGCTTATTCATGGGAAGGAACTTACAGACCTGACAGGTGATTAGCAATGCCTATGGCTTGCACCAAAAATCATTTTTGTGGATGTTTGACCACATTCTGCTGGACCCAGTATGGACCATGACCATCAGTGATTGCTAAAAAGCAGCAACCACAGATGATTATGATGGAACCTCTGACCGAGAGGGATTTTAAAGACTCCAGGGGTCACCAGAGCCTGAGAACTGGACTCCAAGATAAAAATCAACACACATCAGGGATGGGGAAGAAAGACAGAAGAATTGTTCTATAGGTGGGTGTGTGAAATCTGCATGACTGGGGGAAGAGAGTGGGGAGAGATGGAAGAAAAGGTAAATGTGTAGTGGCCATAGTGAGGATGTGCCAAGAGTTCTTGAGCTCCTGTGGCTGCTGCTCCCTCTGTGATGATCCTTTGTGTCCCTTCCCCCCTCAGTTCTTATGGCCTACTGTTTGTGTGTGTGTGTGTGTGTGTGTGTGTGTGTGTGTGTGTGTGTGTGTGATGTACACTATGAATCTTTTCCCAACACTGTCACTACCATCAGGTGCAGGAGCCTGAGATCAGAGTCCTGCTCTGCTGTCAGGGCCGCCGAGTATGTTGAACACTGTGTTTTTTTCTCATGGGAGGGAGCAGCTGCTCTGACCTCTGTCTCAGGACTCTGAGCACAAACCAGCACTGTGTGTCCTTTTTAGGCTTTGCAGTCCTTGACAAGGCTCCCAGTGCCCCCTAGTGTGCTTTCATAACTATTTGTGGTCTATTTTTTAGTTTTATTAAGTATCTTCTGTAACATAGGATTTTAATTTTATTTTGTATGTTTGTTTCATAGCAAAGTAATTCAATAATAACAACAGTTACTACACTCTGATATTCTTAAGAGGATGGCTAAAATGTTACTCCCAATACAAGTCATAGACCAAACAGATTCACTCTTACAATGAAGGAGTGAAGAAGAGAAGGAACAAAACTATCTTTTGAATGAACAGAGACAATGTCGTATGACACATAAAGCCAATTTGTGTATATCTCACAGCACAAAACAATACAGATGATCAGTAAGTAAGGAGAATTTCAAATAATTTCCCAAATTATCTGTTCTATTAGGTCAAAAATATTTTGGGACACATGGACTCTAATTTAAGTTCTCATAAAGTGTAACTTTTAAACTTTATTTTTTGGTTTTTAAATGCCATTGCATTTACTTTGATGATATCTGTTTATCCCTTTCTTCTCATTTGTTGAGATACACTGTGAAATGATTCATTATCAGGATTTTATGCGTTTTCTTTGAAAATTTCTACCACTCCACTTAAGAAGCTGAGTTATTTAATGGTGGCATCTGGGGATGATCTTTGCTTATTCAGCTTGTGACTTTCCTAATGCTTGACAGGGTGGTTGTT